GAGGAGGACGCACGGGTGAAGCGAGAGAATGTGAAGAAGGAGAAGAACCGCCGCGAGTACGACATCGGCTGGCGCATGGACAGCGTGCCGAAGAGTGCCCCGTGGGCCGAGCGGATGGGCTGCAGACCCGCACCGCAGGGGCTCTGCTGCCTGGTGCTTGATGAAGCCTCCCGCACGGTCAAGGTCGCAGCCACTGCGGAGCCGTCTGCTGCAGTGAACTTGGAGTACCTGCTTCTGGCACTCAAGGTCCGCAAGACCGCATCTCGCGAGCCCCTATTCTCCCTGGACCCGGTGGACCCGCAGAATTTGGAAAAGACTCCGCAGAAGAAGGTTTACGAGCCGAGCTGGCTTGCAGGAACCAGCGTCGGTGATGTCATGTTCCAAGCCGATTACTTCCTCAAGGAGCTGGCACTCGGAGAGTACGACATGCCCGCGGCAGCCTCAGCGCAACCGGCACCGAGGGGTATGCTTAGGCGGAGGCGAGGCCAGCTGTAGGCTTTGCTGCTGCTGCTGGTTCTGAGGTGGTTGGCATGCTGAGCGTCTTTGACTGGTCCGAGATGAAGGACAAGGACAAGAGTTGGGCAGGACGTGAGTGGTACGTGGTGAAGAAGGCAGAGATCCGCGTGGCCGAGGACAACACACTGATCCCACACGTGAAGATGGGAGTCGAGGCTCGGGAGCAGGTGGTGACGAAGAAGGGCCTGGAAGACGCCCCGGTGACCCTGCCGCACCATCCGCTGAAGAAGTTCGCGGATGCCTTCACACGCAACTTCGACCTGATCGCCGAGCGCAAGAGCGTGGTCTTCCACCTCCGAGAGCTTGCGAAGGCTTCGGCCATGGCCAAGTACCTCATCGACTCCAAGGCGCGTCTGGACCCGACATGGTATGCCCTGGCTGACGAGATCGTGAAGTCTACCGAACCGGAGCCTTACCCTCAGATCCCGCAGCTCTGGAACATGCGTGGCAACTCGCGCATCAAGCTCAAGGAGGGCCGGCTTGTGGACATGGTGACAGGTGGCCAGAGCAATCTGCAGGCCATCTATGGCGGCGTTGAGTTTGGCCTCGACCGCTTCGAGCTCGCCCAGCGTCACGCGCTGCAGGGCCAAAAGCCAAGTGTGCCGGGTGTGCAGCTGGCGCAGTCAGGCCGACCCATGTTCATGCCCCAGCGCTTCCAGCTGGGGCAGCGGCCGGAGATGCCACAGGGTGTCGACCTGAACTTGGACAAGTTCTCCTTGTCGACGGAGGAGCGCTTTGCTGGCCGTCTTCCGCCCTGCAGTGGAGGTGTGGACTCACTGGAGGCAAAGACTGTGCTTGGCAGGGCTTTCCTGCAAGCTTTGCAGCAGAAGTCCTTTGCCGTAAAGCCAGAAGATCAGAGCCTCCTGCTGAACATCTTCGAAGTGCCCCAGTGCGATCGTGTCGAGGAGGGCGATGCTTTCATTCCACCGGACCCCAATCTCGAGTACCTCACCAAGGTCCGCAGCCTCGTGGGGGAGGAGAAGACCCTGCGCGAACGGCGCAAGCAGCGCTTCAGCGACAAGTCCTTCGCCGTGGCCAATCCGGGTTTGGACTTCCCACGCTCCTGGACGCCACGCTTCCAGGTCGAGTTGGAGGGCCGCGTCTCGCAGACGGCACCTACGAAGTTTGGCCTGAAGAAGCTGGAGGTGGATGAGGCATTCAAGCGCGGGCTGCTGGAGAACGTCCTGCCAGCTGCCGCACCTGAGTTTAACCAGGTCACGGAGGATGGCATCGTCTTCCGCATCTACAAGATCGGGAGCTTGGAGGTGGGGAGGGGATGGGGGCGGACAAGTGCTGCTATAAGTCGTCTTTCAGTGAAACCAAGTCCTTCGTTTCATACATGTGCCAGCGTCATGTGTGCTGGCATAGGTGCTGCTAGAAGTCCCCTGTTGCCCCATCCATCTTGACCTTGTGCCGGAGCGGTGACGACTTGCTCACGTCAGGTCAGAACCATGCAAGAGGCGGATGAGCCGGAGGCCATCGCAGTGGTCTTCTCAAGTGGCACTGCCTCGTGGGAGGGCAAAGCCGTGGACTCTGAGGACGTGCTACGTGAGAGGCTCGTGAAGTGCAAGGTCTATGTGGAGGCGATGGAGCAGGAATCGCAGCTCCACCTCGCCAAGGATGCACGAATGGGATGCAACTTCTACATCGTCCTGGAGACAGAAAAGAAGAACCGTATCGTAACGGAGGCTCTCGGTGCCGGTGCCCTATCTTGGGTGCAGAATCCCCACAACTTGGAGGATCGAAACTCGCTGGCCAAGCTGCTCTTCACCGTGGACTGCAAGGACGAGGTCTACGCGCGCGACGTGAAGCAGTTCCAGCGCACCCTCATTCTTCCACCCAGCGCTCTGGCTG